GCCGATTTCCTTCCCCCCGGGGAAGGCAGACCGCGCTCGTCGCCTGCGGATCCGAGCTCTGGGGTCTCGGGGGAAGGAACCCACAGCCCTGACTTCCCCCCCACAGTTGCCAGGACAGTGTTCCCCTCCGGGGGCCCCCTAAGGGCGCGTGGAGGCGGGCGGCCCCCTGGAGAGGTCCCTGCGTCCGCTCCGCGGGTCCCCAACGCGGCGCGGGCTACGACTGCGCTGGCAAGACCGCTTTGCCTCTCAGTGAACCACTTAGAAGTAGGACATCTCGGCCCTCAGCCCCCTGTTCTTTCTTCTTTCTTTTCCCTCCAGTTCTCTCTCTCTCTCTCCCTCTCTCTCTCTCTTTCACACACACACATACACACACACGTGTCTCACTACAAAGTAACAGCTTTACCCTGTGACCCCGCGCGCGCCCTTGTCCCAGTGCCCTGGGCTTAACCTCAAAAGCATTGGGTGCTGCTGGGAGCGCAGGGTCCCGCGTAGGGTTCCGTCCTCCGGGAGCTGGCTGCCCTCGCCCCGCCCGACGGGACCCTCCCTACAGCGCCCGGCGACACTTGACCGCGACTTCCCTGCGCCCGGCTGCTCTCCCCCAGCGGTGATCGCTCCTCCTGAGCTCTCGCGCCTCCGCTTGGGCCCTCTCGGTCCACGCCTGGGGCCGGCCAAGCTCGGATTGCGTTCGTCGCTCTCTGGGTTGAGGCACTGGCGTGAGCGGTTTGATGAAGCTTCCGTGAGATACGCCGCCCTGGATGCTCGTACGCGCTGCAGGGGACACATTGACGTTCCCCTCTTCGCTTTCCCGCGCCGCGACACTTCGTAATTACCTGACACAATGCGATATGGGGGTGTCCATTGTTCCACTGCTTGTTATTATGGAATGTTCATTATAACAGTGGTGGAACTTAAAATTACACAATTTTTTTAAGTAAAAGATTGAATGAATCGGTTTGGGGAATATGAGTCAGCTTTCCATTAAAATCTGTTTGGCCTGTCAAATGAGGCTCATTCTGGGTATCACATCGCCTAATTTGAATTTTAGCCTTGTTTTGTTTCTTGAACGTCGAATTAGAGATATTTGGGGACGTACTCGGGAGGACTAAGCACCTCTAAGGTGGCTATTTTGCATCTTAGCATTATTTTGTTTCGTAAATGCCAAATTACAAATACTTGGGAGTGTGTCCAAGAAAGCTGAGCACCTCCCCTCGCCTCTTTTCTTCCCTGTGTGGAGGGACGGGGAAGGGGGGGGGGAGCCGCACCCTACTCTGCGTGGCTCGCTGGATCCCAGGCGAGCCAGGAGGCCAGAGTGAGCAAGGCAGAATCAGACCCTGCTCCTGCAAGGGGTCCAAGCAAAACATTTGCCGGGAAAAAATGTTCAAGATCCTGGGGCGGTTATCTGGGGCAGAAAAAGTCAAGAGAGGAGGATTGCTGAGTTTTTAGGGAGCGCTTTGCGGTACAGGCGTCCCTTTATTCAAGATTTTTCCAGCAACCTCTGGGAGCGTACCCAGGTATACACAGGTGTGAACCCAAGTCCTCTGGGAAGTCTTGAAGCCAGTAGTAGCCCACAAATGACCAACAATGACCCTGGCAACAAGAATGAGGAGAGGAGCCCAATCCTGTTTGCACTAACACGCTTCCCCCTTTTTCCTAGAACAATAACACAAGATCCCCCAACGTGTGAAAGTGGGTGTATTTCTCAGTGAGGAATAGCATCCTAATGCTGTTGCCAGTAGGGAGAGATGAAGAGTGGGTCTTTTTGGTTTTTCAATCTGAATTTCATCCAAAACATCTGATAATATGTGGGTTGGAGGTAGTTTGTTTTCTCTGTTTTGCCCTCTTGGTCTTTAATGAGAAGTAGTCAGAAACTTTTTTTTTTTACTTTTGAATATTCTAAACTGTGGAAACATATGTTGTAAAGTATACACAAAAGGAAGCTTTTTGTCTTCTGGAAACATATTTAAGTCCCCTCTGTTTCCTTTGGTGCCAGAAACATTACAATCGATTCACTGTTGTTCAGTTGATATCAAATAACAAGTTATATACCCGAAGTCCTAAGATACAGTTTCACAAGTTAAGAATAAACAGAAAAAGTGAACTGTAGCCCAGAGTTATATTTAGAGGCAGCTATACTTCTTTTAAAGAAAATTTCTTCTTCTGCACTGGCTCATTTAATAAAAATAGTGATATTACTCAGTCACCTGTCCTTTCACAGTCATATGTCCTCCAGAAAAACTGAGGTGAGAATGTTGTCCTAGAATCCACGATGCATATCTTCAGGGACAGAATGAAAACCCATATAATATGTGTGAGGGAACTTTTAGTCCAGAATGAACTTCAGAACTAATGATTGTTATACCTTGTTAATGGCAAGTTTTAGGTTTCTTCAAATGTGTTATAGATGAAGACAATTATAACAACAGTTGCTGCTTTATGAATTTGGACATATCATGAGTCTAATAATGTTCTGTAGGTAACTTTATACAGTCTGTTGGACTATAACCCTATGTAGGTGGGAACAATCTCCTACATCTCAAAAAAGCCACTCTTTCCTATTATGATTTACCATTATGTTCCAGCCACCAGTTCATACACCCACACACACCACCACCACCACCATTCAAGGCCCTAGACACAGAAATAGTCTTCAATATTCCCTTTACTACCTCTGCCAGTCACCAAGAAAAGCATAGGAGTGACCTTTTTCATACATTTCTCAGGTATATTTTTGTGACTTTTACTTTTCAAGGCTTCTCTTGATATTCATTCAAACCAGATTCACCTGGAAAATACATCAGAGAGAAGATAGGAAATCCCCAGGATGGTGTGCTTTGGGCTCTTAACCTCTAGATCTCCTTCTTTGTTATCTCTAAGAACACCTAACTCAGAGGCCCAGTCTTCATGCCTGGTAACGAATGAATAAATATTTGCTGATTGATTTGTATGACATAATAACAAACTTACAAAGAGACTTTACTGTATATTGTTTGAAATTAATGCTCATCTTGAATAAGCTCTGTGGTCTAACCAAATATGGGACTAAAATATATGGGGTAGTTACTATGCTGAACACATTGTAAGAATTACCTCATTTAATATTTACAAAATCTTATGAGGCACCTTTTACTGTTATCCCCATTTCACAAATGAGGAAACTAAGGCTTACACAAGTTATTAAGTCACAAGTTAGTAAGTATCGGGATTTGAGTCTGTAACTTTCTGTCCAACTCTAGTTATGGAGTTCTTGATACTATGATAACCTGATTTAATGAGCCCCTTTTAATAATCTGTATTTTATCTAATCTAAGCCCCATGGATTTTTTTTGCATTTTCACACCTCTGAGATTGTAATATATCTTACAATGATTTCTTACAATTATGAATGACAGCTTTTTCCCCTCCTCAATATTCCATAAAATAATAGCACATTCTCCCATCAGTGGCGTATTTGGTTATGTTAGGTTATGCTGCAATGGCAAATCAGAAAATCTCAGGACTTAAAGCAACAAATATTTCTACTCCTTGCTCACAAAAGTCTCCTGAAGATCTGTGTGACTCTCCAGAGCAACTGTCCTCTGTGTGAGGGCTTGGCATCGCACCTCCATGCCACCATGTGCTTCCACAGCCATTGCTCTAGAAGAAGATGGAACCCCGCAGGATCTCTCACCAGCAGTTAAATGCTCCAGCCTGGCAGGGTCATATGTCACTTCTGCCTTCAATCCATTGACTAGAGTTAATCATATGATTCTGCCCAGCTGCTAGGGAAGCTGGGAAATTTAATTCTCCCATGTTCCCCACGGGAGAGGAAAACTGGATATGGGGAAGCATTTAACATATACCACAAGACATCTTCATTGAATGAAATATGGTCATTAGGATCAATTAATGTAAATATCAGGGATCTTTTTTATTTAAAACCAATGAGCAGCAATGGGCCTGTGATTTGTTATATGCCACCTAAAACATACTTTCAAAGTTCATGCTCATGTTTAACTTCAGAGAACAGAAATTCAAAATCAATTTCAAAAAGAACATTATGAAACAGCTTAATTATAATGCAGGGGCTTTAGCCAGGGGTCTACAGGTGAGCTTCCAGAGCTTTGGAAACTCCTAAAATCATATACAAAACATTCAGTTCATTTTTTTCTAGGGAATGGGCACATGTGTCATCATATTCTCACTTAGGATTCATGACTTATTCATTCATTTATTCAACAACTATGTATATTGAGGCCCTGCCATATTCCAGGCACTGTTCTGGGTGCTTTGGATCTAGCAGCAAACACAACAGATAAGTTTTCAAATTTCAGAAAGCTTATAGCCTGGAGAGGGGACAATAAGCAAGCAAACAAGCAATAGAGAAGGTAATTTTAGATACAGAGAGATGACAAAAGAACAATGTGATAGAGAAACTGGAGTAGGCTACAAGGGTCGGAGGTCTGCTTTAAAGATCATAAAAGATCCTTATGAAAATCAGAAATTTCACTTCAAATGGGAAGGATGAGAAGGAACTGTCCATGCAAAGATCTGGAAATCCTGGAGAAAAGTGTTCTGGTCAGAATTTTTTTTTAAAGATTTATTTATTTATTTGAGAGAGAGAGTGTGTGTGAGCACATGAGCGGGGGTGGGGAGGGGGCAAGTAGAGGGAGAGGGAGAGAGAATCTCCAGCAGAATCCCCACTGAGTGCAGAGCCGGCCAGCCCCAGGGCTCCGTGAGCTGGATCATGACCCTGAGATTATGACCTGAACCAAAACCAAGAGTTGGTAGCTCAACTGACTGAGCCACCCAGGCGTCCCTCTAGTCAGAATTTTAAAGGAGCTAAAGAATGGATGTGCTGAGCATGTTTGAGAAATGGAAAGGTATCCGTAGTGTAGAGAACAAAAAGAGCAGCAAGAGAAGCAGGGAAAGAGGAATGCAGGGCCAGATTGTATGGGACCTGTAGACCATCGTAAGGGATCAAAATCTTATTTTAAAAGCAATCTGGACCTTTTCTAGCCGCGCTCGGCAGCAGACGGCCATGGGCCGCGTCATCCGTGGACAGAGAAAGGGCGCCAGTTCGGTGTTCCGCGCGCACGTGAAGCACCGCAAGGGCGCCGCGCGTCTGTGCACGGTGGACTTGGCCGAGCCGCACAGCTACATCAAGGGCATCGTGAAGGACATCATCCACGACCCGGGCCGCGGTGCACCCCTTGCCAAGGTCGTCTTCCGGGATCCGTACAGGTTTAAGAAGCGGACAGAGCTGTTGATCGCCGCCGAGGGCATCCACAGCGGCCAGCTCAACATAGGCGATGTGCTCGCGGTGGGCACTACGCCTGAGGGCACTATCGTGTGCTGTCTGGAAGAGAAGCCTGGTGACCAGGGCAAGTTGGCTCGAGCCTCTGGAAACCATGCCACGGTCATCCCCCACAACCCAGAGACCAAGAAGAACCGAGTGAAGCCGCCCTCAGGCTCAAAGAAGGTCGTTTCTTCAGCCAACAGAGCTGTGGTCGTGTGGTGGCTGGAGGTGGCCGCATTGACCAGCCCATTCTGAAGGCTGGCCGTGCCTACCACAAGTATAAGGCAAAGAGGAATTGCTGGCCACGTGTGCGGGGTGTGGCCGTAAACCCTGTGGAGCTTCCTTTTGGAGGTGGCAACCACCTGCACACGGGCAAACCTTCTGCTATCCGCGGAGATGCCCCTGCTGGCCACAAAGTGGGTCTTACTGCTGCCCGCGGGACCGGGCGTCTCCGCACAGCCAAGCCTGTGCAGGAGAGGGAGAACTTGGGTTGAGGGGCTCAATAAAGTCTGTCCTGTCACTAAAAAAAAATAAATAAATAAAAGCAATGTGGACAGATGCGCAGGGTCAAGAAACCTTCCTTTGCATGGGAAGGCCTGAGTTTCTTCCTGGCTCCGTTATTCGTATATAGGGGTCATCTGGCCATCATTAGCTCTGCCATTAAACACCAGGTTAACACAGCCAGGCACACCCCTGAGTCGGGATCCCCTTCCTCCTTGCTGTTCCAAGAACATTCTTGTCCTCTTTGCCATGGTGTCAAAGTGAAGACCATGACTTGCCCAGAAAAATGAGGGTCTTTTTTCAGTCACAGGTATATAAGAAGTTCCTCAGGTAGTAGCTTCAAACAGACTCAGGGTTCTTTGCAGGACAATAAGGGGCTTCATTTCTTTAGTGAGGGCTTGAGCAAGTGATTTTACCTTAGTCTTCATTTCCTCATATGTGAAGTGAGAATAGTAAGTTACATTTTGGAGTACGGTTGTTGTGACCGCATATTATCTATTAAAGTGAACTAAAAATAAAACTGCACAAGTTTCTCTGGACAAATATGTATTATCTGCTCTTGAGAATCATTATTGTTTTACAATAGCCTTAGGTTTATATGTACAGACGAACAGAGATATGTGACAATTTAAGGAAACCTGACACATGAGGAATAATCACCTACATAATAGCAGTGTTCTTCATTTTCAGTATGATGTACACCCGTGTCCATTTTTTTTAAGATTTTATTTATTTATTTATTTGACAGACAGAGGCACAGCGAGAGAGGGAACACAAGCAGGGGGAGTGGGAGAGGGAGAAGCAGGCTTCCCACCGAGCAGGGAGCCCGATGCGGGGCTTGATCCCAGGACCCCGGGATCATGACCTGAGCCAAAGGCAGAAGCTAACGACTGAGCCACCCAGGCGCCCCTCACCCGTGTCCCTTTTAATAGTAATTTGCTAGAATATTATAATTTTAATTTATAAAAATGAGATTTTTATATACACTTTCAAGAACATTTCAACAGTACCCATTGGGGCAAGCATACCACTCCCTACCAATTCAAGGAAAAGATTAATTTGAGTTATAATTTTTAATTTGTATCCACTGAATTAAAATGAGATCAAAGCCCAGTATTTATTTACTCCAAGCATCTCTATGCTCAAAAAAAAAAAAAATGTTAAGCTCCACTATCAATGTGTATGTCTGAATATAACAGCTTTATGTGTGGTAAGCCAGTGGAAATAAATGAAGACCACCCAAAGGAAAACAAGCAAAGCCTGTTTATCTAGGGCAAGAAGTCAGCCACCATCACCTGCATTTGGCAGAGACTCAAAGGCAGGCATGTGGGTGGGAGAGCTTTATAGTGGAAAATAAAAGGCTTCAGATATATTCTGATTGAAGGCTTTTGGCATGGAGAAACTGAAGGCTAACCAGAAGGTGGGGACCAACTAGAAGCAGGACATCCTATATGATTAATTTGGGGAGCATATTTGGCTTTCTCTAGTTGGTCTCAAGTTGGAAAGGGGAAGTATTGTAAGGAATTGGAGAGCTGGGGGTCATTGTCCAAGTCCCAACCATTCTGGGCCGATGGTGGCAGAGGTGATTTGGCTTCTCTGGTTTGTTGCTTCCAGTGTGATGGGTCAGAGTTCTATTGCCATGTGGCCTTGCCATTGTACATTTGTACAGTCAGTCTCTCAAATTGAAGCCTGGCAACTAAGAAGAAACTAGCTCAAGGTTTAAGGCAGCTTCCATTTGTGGTGAGATAATATTTTGACGTATTAAGAAGTGCTTTGTTTTGTTTATACTTGCTACTTCCTTTCTATCCCATGCACTTATTCATTCATTTGGCATCCATTGTTTCAAAGTAAGGATGCTATGAGATAAATTCACCAAAAAATATGAGTTAGTTATCCATGACTTTTGAGACTTAAAATGGAATTGTGAAATTCAAGGCAGAAAAAGAGAGTTTGAGAGAAAACTTTTTCCGAGTTTCAAAAGTCTAGATTTTGAGTGTCAAGACCCAATGACCTGAAGGATTTAGATTAAAAGTTTATGCCATAAAAAGCAGCTTTAGAAAAAAAAATTGACAAGCCAAGGGAAGTTTTTCCAAAACAGAAAGAGATCACAATTCTGTGTGGTTGGGATAAAGAAGGAACAAAGACGCTTAGATGATGGAAGAAATCTTACTGTAGATTCCCAACCAGGTCCCAGTGCCCTGGGGAATGGGAGAAACTGGAACACTTGCTAGGTTTGGGGGAATATGAAGGTAGAGGGCTGAAAGTAGAGATGACTCGTGTCTCCCTCCCTTCAAGGCAGAGACTGAAACAGCAGCAAGCCTTATAGAACAAATCAGCCCAACACAGAGCAGGTAAGTGCAGTGGGGATAGGCACAGTGGAATGAAGAAGCCTGAGCAGAAGGTCCTGGGGTAGCCATAAATACTCTCCACTCGCCATAATGTATGTGTTTCACGTGAGGCTGAGAATGGAGCAGGTGTAACTCCAAGAGACTGCAGAATCAGAGTAGTCCTGCACCCAAAATGTTGGATGAGAGACTCCATGAAGACTTCCTTCTCAGAGGATGCCATCTGGAGAGGTGACTATGTCTGAGGAGTAAATGCCACCCACCCCACCGCCACCTGCCATGCAGATGCTAGCCCAGTGAGAAAAGTCCAGGGGGTGGGCACAAGAGAAGACCAAATCAACTTAGATTATCTGGAGGTTTTCTGCCTCCTAGCACAGTAGTTGTTGTATGAAACAGAGACTGAGTTCAGTTATATGGAAGTAACAATCACATAGGTATTTATTCTGTAACTCAAATTTGCTTTTAAGCAATTTCTACAAATGGAGTTTTCTGACTCCTGGAGTAAATTTGTGGCATTATCTGCCCAATTATTTAACATCTAAATAGTATTGTCCAAACAAAAATAGTTTCTTTGGGGTTATGGCCTTAATATCATAATAAGACCAACTTAAAAAATTTAAGGACATTCTTTTTAAAGATTTATTTATTTATTTATTTGAGAGAAAGAGAGAGAGCACAGAGGGAGAGGGAGAAGCAGACTCCCCTGCTGAGCAGGGAGCCTGATGCGGGACTCGATCCCAGGACCCTGAGATCATGACCTGAGCTGAAGGCAGGCACTTAACCGACTGAGCCCCCCAGGTGCCTCGAAACTTAAGAACATTTTCAATACTTAGTCAAAATTCTGGTACATATAAAACCTAACTTGGCATCTGAGTTATCTTGAATTGTCATTGCCTTCCTCAATGATACCCACTGATGAAATCAGAACACTTTATTTGAATAATATAGATAATAACATAGACTTATAATACTATATTTCCTTTAGACAAATAATCAAATGCCCTTAAACTTATTAGACCTCTGACAGTCCTGTTGAGTGATATCATCAACTATTGTGTGGTGGATTCCTGCTACGAGCCAAGTATTTTACAAACAATATGTCATTTATCTCTCCTAACCATGGTTGAGAGTATAATTGTTCCCATTTCACATCTTAGGAGAGTGAGGGTGAGCACAGGGTCACACTAGGAAGTGGCCAATCAAGGATAAAAGTCCACGATCCACCGATGCCAGGTCAAGTGAGGTATGCTTTCACCTACACTGCGCTCTGCTCCTCTCTGCTCAGCCCTTTTACCCCCTTTTCTTGGGAAAATAGAGCGTGCAGCTAGGTAAATTTTAATTTCATCTTTATTTTAATTTATACATGGCTATCATAAAAATTAAAACAGCTATACCAAAACACTCAACCTTTCAGAAATAGCATACTGCATTTTAATATTCTCGAACCAAATACGGTATTCAGTAAATGGTTACACAGGATTGATATCTGTGTTTTGACCCACCTCCTTTGAGAAACATTACATGTAGTATAAAACATTTTTCTTTCACAGAAAATTTGTCTCCAATGTGTTGTTTGGCCATAAGTCGTCTCTTTATTACATCCCAGAGGGAGGAAGTTGAATGGGAAAGATTCCTCAGTTTAACTATGAGAGGACATTATACATTTCAGTGGAAAAAAAAAATTCATCGAAAGCGAAGTCCATAAATTAAGGATTCCATAGTAGGTCTTGGGATATAGGCTGTGTGTGTGTGTGTGTGTGTGTGTGTTTTAAGTAAGTCCGTTAAAGCTACTAAATTTGTATGCCACATGCTAAGAAGGACTGTGTCTTTGACGCCATTTTGCCCTTTCCATGTAAAGTCGGTGGGTCTTTCGTGCAGCTGATCTTTTGAAAGCATCGAAGTGAGGGCGAGCTGGCAGGGACAGACAGAAGAGAGAAGATCCAGGTACAGTGATTGCAAGCTGTACTCCCCAAGAAAGTCCCAGGATGTGCAGGCTGGGCAGGCACTGAAGTCCTAAACTGGAAAACAAAGCAAAACAAAACAAAAACCCAGCATAGGAAAAAATGAAGTGCATTACTGAACACAGAGTGCGCACTGGGGTGTTCTTTTTATGTGGTGAGCAGTAGAGTTTTGTGGCCTGAACACATGGACAATTGCTTAGAATTTAGTAATACAAAAGCTACTACTTATTGAATGCTTCTTTATTCACTAAGGACTGTGCAAAATACTTTACAGAGATTATTGTGTTCAGTCCTCACACAGTTGACAACAATATTTGGGTTGGGTCCTGTTTTACAGATGAGGAAATGGAGGGCCAATGGGACTGAGTAGGCCAGCAGTCTGACTTCAGAGTCTAGAACTCTCTCTGCCTTGAAACACCAATTGTACTGGCGAGGATTCTTGCTTTCAAGGAATGAAAATGAACTCTGTCTAAAGAAAAAAAGAATATTGGGGAAAAGGGGATTCATAGAGCCCAAGTGGCTGGGAGAACAGGCTGGGAAAACCAGCAGGAGCCCAAGGCCTTAGGAGGCCAGGTCATAGGAAGACTATTTAAGACCCCACCATCTCTGCCTCTGCCAGGAGCTGCCCCGGAGGTTCTTCTTTCATCTTGGGGTGCACAGGCCTGGGTGTGAGGGTCTACTGCCAGG